AATTAAAATTCCTTTAAGCCTTCCTTAATTAATTAGACTCTTAAAATTGGCTTGAGGTGTCCCATATTAGCCAAGCCAACAATTTATGGCCCTCAAAACTAAATTTAGAAACCCTTTTGATAGAATAATTTGAGGCGTGCCATGCCAAACAAAATCTCAAAACCCATGGCCCTCACTTAATTAACTTTAATCTTTTAGAAATCGAGGTGTGCCATTTAGTGAATTTTTCATGGCCCTCGCAAACTTGAAAATGCGTAGTTGCTTTAGGCGCACAATTTAAATTAATTTCCTTAAACTCGGGTGTGCATTTCATGTGACCCAATCCAAATCTCAACAACGTTAAATAAAATGTATCGTGGACTGCGGGTGTATTTCATGTGGCGTGGTTCAAGACGTGTTTTAGATAACGTTGAATCTTCCTAAAGTTAATTAAAAGCGGCTAATAAGCTAAAATATACCATAGGCTAAAACATGTATTAAAATCAGATAATAGGCCAATTATAACAGTTGAGCGATCGTGCTAGAACCACGGAATTCGGGAATGCCTAACACCTTCTCCTGGGTTAACAGAATTCCTTACCCGGATTTCTGTGTTCGTGGACTGTAAAACAGAGTCAATATTTCCTCGATTTGGGATTTAAACCGGTGACTTGGTACACCATAAATTATCCCAAGTGGCGACTCTGAACTTAAAAAATAATCCCGTTTCAGTTGTCACTTTAAGTTGGAAAAAACTCCCTTATACCCTTCCGGTGTAGGAAAAATGAGGCGTGACATGAATAATTATTAGATATAAAATACTGAATAAATTAGAAAATAAATTGATAATAATATGGAAAATTATGGAAAAATATCAATTATTATAAAAAGTGATTTTGAAGGTATTTATGCAAATTTAAAAATAGTTTGAGGAAAAATTGGATATCAACATCCGGTAGGTGTCAGAGCCTCTTGGGTTCAGCCCCTTAGTAAATGCTTCAATCGCTCATTCATCTGGCACGGGCTGCAGCAACATCCTTTCTTTCTAAAACCTGGTCACGAATTCCTGCAGCAATTCGGACTCTCCTTGCGCATTTCTGAATATGCCCGCCTTAGTGTAAGCAAGCTTCTTTCCGACCAGACTGACCTGACAAAGAAGTATCTTCCTATAGATAGCTCCTTGCTTATAAAAAGATTTATAATGAGAATCAACTGAAGCTTATTCAGGATTGATCTTTCTTATCCGAGAGTCTTATCAAACTCTCTGCCACTGTAGGTGCGACACAGGTAGTAGTGATTGAAAGAGCTGATGCGACATGATCGCGATTTCCGGGCTTGCACCTTCCTGTCCTCGGCATGGGCCTTGATGAAAGAGTCTGCGAGCATCTCAAAGGAATCTATTGAGTGTTCGTGTAAGAGTGAGTACCATATCAGGGCTCCTTCGTGAGGGTTTCTCTGAACTTCTTCAGTAGGACTGGCTCAATTTCATGTGGAGCCAAATCATTTTCCTTCACCGTTGTTGTATAGGTGGTGATGTGCTCTTGAGGGTCCGAAGTCCCATCATATTTTGGTACATATGGCATTTTGAACCGCTTTGGAATCAACTTTTGTACCACGCTCGGTTTTAACGACAACTTGATGTATTTCTGTGAGTCTGGTCCCTTCAAAACTAGTCGTACATCCGGTATTTGGTCCATTCGGGAGTTTATTCCCCTCATAAACTGCATGAGCTCAGTTTTGAAGGGATCATTACTGTTGTTGTTACTAGATTCGCTGTCGATCCCCCCGGCCCCGTCGAAGTCGACCTCACCCCTCGGGTGTTGTTATCAAACCTTTGTGCTGTTTGATTTATGGGAGCATCAGGAGGAACTAGGCCTCTTCCATTCGCGTTGTTGGAAGTACCCGACAATACTTGTCTCAATTTCGTCATTGCCTGGTCTTGCCGTGAGAGATGGCCATGATAGCTTTTTGTTATTTTCTCAGGATCCTCACCGTTTCTGCAACGTGCTCATCCTCCGCATCATTAGGAGTCGGCTCCTGTACGTGCCAGGGATATCGCCTGGCATGAACCAGTGTTGCTACGTCCTCCTCGTTGCAAGTGTCACTGATTGAGTCCTCGTATTGAGGTAGGTTCTTTTGTGCCTCAACGTTGTGTGCAATGTTGACATCGTTAACTGCCATTTTATACGAATTTTGCTAAAAACAAAAAAATCAAATAGATTAATAATGGATGCAAGGATCAACTTAATTACGCAAATGTCTAAGCCCCATAGTGGGTGCGCCAAACTGTTTACCCGTAAAATATTACAGTTGAATTTATGGCATGGTTTATAAACAAGCGAACTGATTCGATCCCAAAATGATAAATAAATCAAATAAAATGCAAGACTTAGCGTTAAAATCGAAATAAAATAGCAGACAGCTTGATTCCGGGAGCAAGGCTTCCGAAGGCAACAATAAGAATATCGTTAGATAGAAAAAAAAAGTATTATTTATCTTGGAATAATGTGTCGCCTAAGTTTGTCAGAAATTTCGTGTGTTACAATGGTTGTTGAAGTCACTATTATAGTTATACCTAAGGAACAAGGTCCTGGGATCAAGCCCTCTTAAATGATAATAATGGGGGTCATTGATGAATATGTAATGACAAATAATGAATGCCAAAATTCTCTGTAACAGACGTGTATTCCATACTGAGGAATATTCTTCATTAAATATCATCTGATGGCAAATATTCGTTTGCCCCCGTTAACAATGTTCCCTTCGGGGTCTACCCGATGCCAACCGAAGTTGTTGTCCTTCGTTTGGATTTCCACTCGCTTCGACTTCTGTCTGTTCCTGATTCCACGTGTCACCCTATCATTCGAGTATTTAGTGTGAACTGATTTTACCCAATATATTGACCTAGGAACCCCTATATGTGTGTGTGTTCATTGGTTTTAAGTTCTGGATACTTTCAGGAGGATTAAAAAGAAAACAAGAAAAGAGTTCAAAATATCCTCATCTGGATATTTTATTTTTCGAATACTTGGCCGATTGGATTTTTCTGCGATGAAAATACCCATAGGAGCATATAAAAGATGCCTCGTCCTGTTGAGTTTTGGGTCAAATATGAAAGTTCTAGATAGTATGCAGCCAAAAATTAATTTTCTTTACTTTGGAGATGAGACCAATATGATATTCCCATTGTTTATTTAATATTTGTTGGTGAATTAGTTATGAACTATTCAAGCTGATCTCATATAATAGGACCAAACAATCCTCAAACCTAGTTGACGTTCTTAAATGCTTAAACGGTCTCTATCTCTAACAATAACTTTTTTCAATTGATTCCTCTATATATGTTTTATTAATTAGTAACAAGTTAATTTATTGAGTTGTTGCATTCCGTGTTGCTTATAATCAACTTGTGATTAGTTTATCTGTTTATGTGTCCGCTTGATTGATACTTATAAGAAACCAAAAACATCACATTCTGTGACCGTTTTCAAATTTGATTAATTATTATAATTCATCGCAGTTTATTTGTTGAAGCATTATTAGTAAGTGTATCACTCATTGTTAAACGCTGTGAAAACTGAAATTTATTAGAAAATATGTTTTTGAGTTTAATTTTCTATATATTACTAGTGAAAAAAAAATCACTATCAGACAACCTAAAGATAATTACAAATAATTATCTATAATAAGTAAAATTAATAATCCAAAATATATGAGGATAAAATTTTATAACATGCTTAAATACATACCATATTAATTAAAATTTTATATTGTCACTATATGCAAATTAAATACTGTTGCTCCCAAAGGCACACACAAGTATACGTAGTCGTACAAGTAATAAAGTGATAAATCAAGTATCAAACCCATAAAGACTTGTGTTAACTGCCTAGCTACTAGTTTCACCAAAATTATTATTCAGTCGAGTCAATCAGAATTCAAAAGTGTGATTATACTAAGCAATGATTCTAACAAGTAACTAATTAATCGAGCAACAAAATAATTGTTGTGTATTCAGTAGAGATAAATATTCCAAGGTTGTGATTGATTCACTAATCCTATTGTGTTCTAATTAACTCTCCCTTTCATACAATTCGCTCATGGTTGCTAATTAATCGAATAATTGCTCTCGTAGTATTCTCTCGAATTACTACTCGCCTATTCAAAATAGATTAATGCATATATTCCTATGGAATCAATATATTAAGAATGCATTAATATTACGATATTGAATTGAGCATGTTGACTAGGTATATTCCTATCCTAACCACAAATTCGTCCTCCACTCAGAGTTAAGATCATGCCCTCTTCAACTCTTCTCTAATCTAGACGTAGCATTCCCAAGCATAGCATAGATAGTAAATAGAACCTAACTGGTGGCCAGACAATTAAGCAATTAATTATAGAATTGAAGAAACAACCATATATTAGCAAATAATAATCAAGGTCAAGTCAATATCAAACAACAATATTTATGGCTAAATCACAACCCCAGAACTATGAGTTTTAGCCACTCATAATAAAATCAAAATAATTTCACAAGTGTTGAATAATTGAGAATACTAAGAATGATGAAGAAAAACTGAGAATCTTTGCTTCCGAGTGTTCCGCGCATTTATTTTTCTCACAAAGTGACGTCTCCCCTCACAAAATATGTTTAGGCTTGCTTTTAAAGGAGTTATGGGTATCTTGGGTCGAAATAAACTTGTCCCGGTCGAGGTAGGAGAAATTCCCGTCACCAACGCCTAGGATAGTGTGGGGCGCTAGCCCTGGCGCTGGGAAATTTTAAGATCTGCCTTCTGCACCACAGGTAGCGCCCCACGCTAGCCTGGGCGCTACTTGTGGCATTTTCCCCATTTCGTTCCCTTTTTTGCTTCAACTCACGCACCTTCGTTCTACATTGCCTCCGGATGATTCCTATATATAAAAATATCACGAATTAGCACAAATCATTATATTACACATCTGAAATTTACGAATTAGCACAAATCATTATATTACACATCCGAAATCTACGAAACATGAGTAAAATACGAGGCANTGATGAATCATCCGCTAGTGAGAAGGGAAAATCTCCAAGGAGAGAGTCGTCGTCGCTTTCTTTTGGCAGTAGTAATTCAGAGTTGGGAAAAATCCTATTGGAACCATCAAGATTGCTTGATATTCTCACCAAGAAAACTTCTTACCAAGGGAATTTCATTTCAATTCCAGAAATTCAAGTCCGAAATCGAGCTTTGCAACAATGTGGACTAAGTGACGAGGAGTACTTAGTTGTTTTTACAGTTACACTAAAAAAAGCAATGATGATGATTGGAGAATGTTACCCTTTCTTCAGGGGAAATTACTACATGACAATACTTGGTGAAGATTATGATTGTATAAGGGAATTTGTTAGTTTTAAAGATTCAAAAGTGATTGCAGCACCAGAAACATGGCTGGATTTGAGGATTAAAGGATCACAACTTAGCCAATATTTTAGGAGGAAATGTAAGCATAGTCCAAAAGGGCTTTTTGCATATCCTGCTTACATCGAAGAAACACGTTACTCGATGCATTGGATATCAGAAGCTCATAGAAATTCATGGCATGTTCTGTTAGATGCTTCTGGTTTGGATGCAGGAAAAGAAAGGAGGTTGGCTTTAGCATTACATCGACCGGATTTCGTGTTGTGTACAGTTGATAATACACATGCTCAGCCCTCGAGAATCACATGCCTTCTTGTAAGGAAACAATCCTTTGAAACAGCAGCTTCTTCAGCTAATTAACTGAAGAAATTAAGTTGAAGCGACAGAGAGACAATGGATAATTCTCTCTGTATACTTCTCTTCTAAAGAGATGAACAGTTTCTGTGTACTGGCCGTTTTTATTTGTTTTGACCTTTTGCTGCTTTGAATTTAATTATGCATATCCTGAGATTTAACATGTGATAGTCTTTGTGTGTTGGTAGTTTACTTCATATAGGAAAATTTTGGTTATGATTTCTTGATTAGAAAACTGAGCCTAAAAAAGGAAATGTTGAGAATGGTTTTTTCACATAAAGCTCCACAAGGTAGAACATATTATAATATGTCCTTCCCTAAAATGGTATTTTCATGATCCAACAAGAATTACAATATAATGGAAGTCTATATATATTATTACAACCTGCACTGTTGCTCATGCATGTTTCAATTTCTGCTTCCAAATATAATTATGCCTTTTCTTGGAAAGTACTAACCGATTACTTTCGGAATCATAAATTTGTTTTAATGTTCAGAATTATATATATCAGAATTATCTGTGTTTAGGTCGACAGTTTCGAAATCATTGGTTGCAGTTATTTGGATCTTTGAGCTAAAACAAGATCCAGTATGGTGCAATCTGGGTCTTAAATAATCGTGATACACCGGCACATATTACTTTCTCAAATCCAGAGGAAAAAGAAGCGAAATTAAGTCTTGTACCAGCCAAGCAAATCCATACAACATAGTTCCCGACGTACCTACATACATCAATTCATTAAAACAGAGACAATAGACTTACAACCAAAAAAACTACAAAGGAAATAAAACCTCATCCAATAATTGGTGAAGTGGAAGCGGAGGTCACAGAAACGTTTTAACAGAAGTAATCTAGTTTACATCAAAACACTAGTAGCTCCCCTAGGAATTACACTTAAAATGACTGCTACAACTGCAGCAGCCATTGCTGTTCCAAAGATTGAAAGCTGGGGTCCGTTCTTGAATCCGTTGGAGGAATCCTTTGTAGTGTCGGGCGACGATGATGAAGAAGCCCCAGCAGGTGTGGCCACCGGGGTTTTGGACGCAGTAGATGCATTGGTGAAGATGGCATAATCAGGAGAAGTTGAAGGAATGTTGAGTAACTCTGCGCTCATCAACATGAAAATTAATATTTGATGGTAAAAAAGTCTAGTAACAAAATCTACAAAGAATTAATGTTATTGTCAAAAAAAAAATCTACTTCCAAATAACATAAATGAAGTAACATATGGACGTTAGAAACATTCATCTAAGTGATTCTAACTTGCTTGAGATTGATACATCATATCTTTGAGAATCACTAAGGTATTTTTACTCTCCTTTCACTTATACCAGACTTTAATTCTTGGCACGAGTCAAAATGGTAACGTGTGAGATGTCACCGCTACACATTCTTTTCTACACTTCCTTTACCGGTCAAAAAAGGGCCTCGAGCTAGCTCCAAGTGACATATTCTTTTATTGCAAACCAACATTTTTTCAAAGTTCAAAATCAATGAGATGGTCCATATATTATTAATTACAACTGACGGGCTAAATATTGACTAGAAAGATAGATTCAATTAATTTCAAGAAAAAATGAATAACCAAGAAAGGTGCATTAAATTCGATCAGTGTTAAAAATGACTATCCTATACCCTATGGATAATGGCCATGCATGGTTAAAAATAATGAACAAGAAAGGCAGAAAAATGTCAACTATGAGTGATTGTTTCCTAGTAAAATGTCATTTAATTAGTTAACCTAGATTTAAGAATTGCCTTAGTTCAACTTCGATAAACAATTTTCAGTTGCTTCATGTTTAAGGTAGCAAGTAGCAGCAATGAAACAAAATATTTAGAAACATACCGTTTTCCAAACAAGTTTTTTTTTCCAGGGATATACATTCAATTACAATCCCTCTGTTTCGATTTATGTTGACACACTTTCTTTATTAATCCGTTTAAAAAAGAATGAAACATATTTATATTTAAAAACAATTTCACTTTAAACTTTTCAATTTCTCCATTGTCTTTTATGAAAAGCTCTTATTACCATACAAAAAGTGAGAGTACCACAAAAGCTTTTACATATACTCTTCAAGCTTGTAAGGTTCATATATTTTTTTCTCTTTGCTTTATAAATCCTGTGCCGACAAGATGAAGTAACTCTTAAAAAAAATTCACAGCACACCTCAGTAAGTCAAACAGCGTGCTAGATCACCAAAAGGAAGAAACAATTACATGGGAAAGAATTCACTTAGAAAAAAGATAGGTAGATAAAAGAAATTACTAATACAGTCAAGGCAAGATACAGTTTCTGCCGAACCCAGTAGCTTTTGTTCAAACCCTATATTTGTCTAAGAGATCTATTGAATATGTAAAAATTACTAATTAAAAACCCACTAATTTAAACGGTCAAGAATCTTGAACCCATAAACTTCAAATCCTTGTTCCGTCACTGACTAAAGTAAGGATATTTTACTTATATACACTGTTTGTGTACAAAAATATTTTACACTATCATCATATTTTAATACTTCCTCCGTTTCATATTATATGAGGTAGTTTGACTCGGCACAGAGTTTAAGAAAAAAGAAGAAGACTATTGAAACTTATGGTCTTAAAAGTTTAAGGGGTAAAAAGTTTGTGGGGCCATGACATTTTGTGTGGCTATAAAAGCTTCTCATTAAGGGTAAATAGGTAAAATAAAAGAGTTTAAAGTTGAATTATTTTCAAATTAAAAAATGTGTCATTTGTTTTGGAACAGACTAAAACGGAGGGAGTATGTTGTATGCTGTTAGAAGGTAAGTCACCTTTATCTTCTATGTTAGTATTAGTCACGTCTAATCCTGAAAGAGAATGAATGATAAAAATAGCATCTCTTTTATTTTTTTTAATTATTTGACAGGGAGAAGTTAAACTGAGTAAGAAATTATCATGTTATAGAAGAGAAAGCTTACCAGGGCAGTTAGAAATGCTGGCATTAGCGAGCTTGCAAGCAGAAGGAAGCTGAAGCAATTTGTCTTCTACTACAAGAAAGTGGAGATACGACATATTTAATAAATGTCATACTAAGCTGTTTAAATGTCACAAATTCATTTACCGATATTTAATTTACATTTACATCAAATGTCGTTAATTTCAATGTCGGTAATTTTCCGACATTTAGGTAAATGTCAGTAAGAAATTATGACACTTATGCTGTGACATTTAGGTAAATGTCGATAAAAAATTTACGACACTTATTTTACGATATTTAGGTAAATGTCTATAAGAAATTTATGACATTTAATTTAAGATATTTAGGTAAATATCTGTAAGAATGTTACGACATTTAGTTTACAACATCTAGGAAACGTCACTTAAAATTTTCAACATTTAGATTAATGTTACTAAAAAAATACGACATTTACATATGATTTTCACAAAATGCCGTATTGAAATTTCCGACATGTTGGTAAATGTCAATAAGAAAATTCACAACATATACAAAATGTCGTATCCACTTTACGTGAATGTCATTAAAAAAATTAGTGACATATCTTTTACAACATAGCAAAATGTTGCATTAGATGTTTGACATTTAAATTAATGTCGGTATCATATTTATTTAGAATGTAAATAATAATGCTCTATTTAGTTTCATCATGAACACATTTACATTCACAAATGACAACTTTTATAACTAACATGAAATAAATGTAAAGCAAATATCTTTTAATACTCTAACCAAAGAACAACGTAGCAATATAAAATGTACTTAGTACAAGATAGATAATACCAAATCAAATGATTTGTTCTCACATAAAACTCAAATCTAACTAAATCATAAAAGATAGTAACTTCAGCGTGTAATTGCGTTAGGATCACTCCTAATTTGAATTAATTTCCTTAACTTCTAGACTAAATCTTATAAAACCAACTCTCCACAAGTCAAGCTTTTCATTGCCAGCAATTGACATGCATCACTTCCTTCAAAAATGCTGCACAAGAAGTCACAAAAAAAGAAATATAACTTTATAATAAAGTGAATTCTTTCCTCCTCTGAAACAATTGGAATACCGAAAATAATAACTGATTGGATTGGTGGCTTTTTTCTTATTGTTGCTCTTAAATAAAACATCTCATTGTGCTCTTTTTGCGTGTCAACTTTACTGATGCCAACTTAATGGATAACTTGTTTAAGATAGACAGACAACATTTATACTAAAAGAACTTTAGACCAAAATCCATCTGATTATATACCAAAATACGTTTTAGTTTGGCTAATTCCATTGCATTTTCTTTTTACCAACACCATTTACCAGCAGGTCTATAGGCAGCTTTACAATTTCATGCCCCTCTTTTGCTTTAAAAATGATTAGGAATTTTAAGAAATTAAAGTGTGTTAATAAAACTAAAAGTCACATATGCATATGATGAAATGTAAGAAGTTAAGAACACTTACACTCTAACAACTGGCATCTTTGCTTCTAAACAGTAATTCACATACAGGATACAATTAGTTGAATCTTCAAAGAAATAACGCTCGAGCATTACTGATTTGATAATGAATGTAATGCTAGCAGCTGAAGAGAGAAAGAAACAGACAACATAAAGCAAAAAATCCAACAAAGTGAACGCAACCGTCCAAATCCAGCAACTGAGATATTGTAATATCATAATGCAGTTAAAGATATACTATTTTTTTTCGGTTGTGGGGGGATGTGGGAGGGGAGAGTTGAATTTTGAAATATTAGTTTCCGTAAATGGTATAGGGAGCTGAAAACTAACGAATGTTATATAAGTTTTGCAAACTATAACATGAAGGGTTTCTCCCTTTGAAAAGGAAGAACAAGAATCTTGTAATTTTTTTCAAACTTACCTGCTTCTTTTTCTTTGTGCCAACTTCACTAACTCAAGTCTCCTTGATTATGTTAACCTTAGAAGAAATATTAGATTGATTACTCTGGTAACTTCTCAACCAAATCCCTTTATAATATGTTTCATATTAGTAATGACATCTCCAAAATCACTCAAGATACTTCTATTAATTGCATTTGGAAGATAAGGTCGCTAAATAAGATAAAGTAAATTTGATTTCTATGCCAAGTAAAACTACCCACTAATTATCTCTTAAGTAAGAGATCAATTTAGCTAGCTGAAATGAACCATACATCGATCAGAATATACCCTTCAAATTGTTTTTCACTCAAGCAGCACATAATAGCCACATATTCAAAAAAGAAAAGAAAAGAGGCAGACATTAGAATTCTAAACCTTATAAGAAATATGCAAGAGAAGAAACCAAATAACTTATAAATCAAACATCATATGATGTCAAAAAATAATCCAACCTTCTATGTGAATAAAGAACACCTGAATCAAATATATGAGCAAAAATAAACTTGCAAAAACTTATAGTGTGACCTATTTTATAGGACCAATCAACCGCACTACAACCACAGATATAAGCAAATAGCTTCTACATAATCCAATACAACATTTTCTTAATCCTTAAGCCCTTTGTAAAGTAATTTTTCTTTTCCATGGCAGAGATAAATCAAATTGTGCAACTAAATGTGGCAAACATAAACCGCCTTTTAGATTTGATTGTCGCATCAAATGCACATATATGCAAGAAAAGGAGAAATACTCGGTCACTGCAAAGTTTTTACCAATAACTTAAACCGACTATGTGTGCTTAAACAAAGCATTGTTCTTTTGAAATTATCGGAGCCCATCTGGTTTAAAGTGCAACCAGCATAATTAAACCCTTAGGCAATAACTCCAATATAATGTAGACACGTAAAAGATTATAATTAACATTTTCCCAAAATAGCACAAGCTAGAAATTCAGGATCCTTTAAAATGGGAATGCAACTATCCCTGAAACCATGTGAGGTACATACCCAAAAAACATATACATAACTTTCTTAAGTTGAAATTAGACACGAACAGAAAGTAAAAGCAATAAACTAAGGCCACACCCATAGTAACATCAATTCGTAATTTATAGTTAAAAAGATATAGTTAAAATGAGTTTACGAACTCACCTTCTTTGTGTGAACAACTGAAAAAGGTGATAGTGATTGTTGGTGATCGTCCATTGAGTTATGGAAACCTATTACAAAAGAGGAAGATTACAACAATTAAAAGAAAACTAAATTACAAGATTATCTTAAAAACAATAAATGTTTGCTAAAGAGAACAATATTTTTTACCTGCTCATTACCAAATAATTTCCCATTTGAGCCAATAGTAATACCCAAAGACTCTAGATATGCACCTATACCCAACTTTATTTTATCGTCTAATTTTGTTTCCATATTCTTTGTTGCTTCAAATATTTTTTTCCCCATCGCTTTTATTTCTTCTTTTGCTTCAAATAACTTTTTCTCCTTCGCTTCTATTTCTTCTTTTGCTTCATACAATTTTTCTTCCATCTCAATTCTTATAGCAGAGGTAGCTTTTTAAAAAACAAGTATCAAATTGATGTTTGATTGAAATTGATTTAGATCTATTTTATATTGAACTAGTAAATGACATCGTACTAGTCCAACCTTTTCAAATAGTACCATTATTTCTATACATAAAGTTTAAGTATTACAAACATACTTTGCAAGCAAACTTAAATAGCCTAAACAATTAGGAAAGAAGAAACCTAGTACTAAGTATTATTAGAACGAAAAAATTTCATATTAGAGATATAAATAAAGCAAAACAAATTAAAGAACTACCCCCAAAAAAACTAACTTTCTACCATCCATCAATTCGTCAAACTATGTCACATCCCAAATAAGTTAAGAGTTGCCTATAAAAATCTAGGTCCATTGTGTTCGTTATTATTTATCTGTTCTTTTATATTTAAATCAATATACTATTTCTATGTTGGTCAAACAACCTGCGGAACTCTCTTCCTTTATCAGGTTAGAAAGATTAACATTCTTCAAAAAAAAAAAATCTGAACAACTAAGAAAAAGAAAGAAAATTGTTAACCCAAATCCGACAATTAAGAAAACGAAAGAAGTCTGTTAACCCAAATCAAAACAACTAAGAAAAAAAAAAAGAAATCTGTTAACTAAATTGGTACCTTGACTTTGTAGCAAATAAGCGTTGTGAATCTCAGCACCAAAAACCTCGTGATAAAACTTTTTTCTTCTCCAAGTATCTATTATAGCACAGCCGAATGTAAAAAATTAGGTTTTTTGAAGAATTCTAACTAAGAAAGGAAACTGTGTTTTTAAGAATTGGGAGGAGGAAAGCAAAATTCTTACCGCCAAAACCTTTTCCTTATAAATCTCCAATACTCTCCATACATAGCTCCTTGTAGAAAATCTGGACAAACCCAATTTGAAATTTGAGCCTAACCCGATTTTTGATTGAGACTGGATTCGATAGGTTGGACTTCTAAGGCTTGGAGTACGGTTTTCACTTATGTTTTAACTTATGGTCAATTGTGGGTTCCTTGGTCCTATAAATATTTTTATTTTAAATATTTCATCTTTAAATAAATCCTAACATCTAGTAAGTAGTAGTAATAATAATATATATATTTTTACTAAATATTGATGTTTTAATAAAAAGTTTTAAATAGGAACGATATTTTAAAATGCGAGGCATACATGATAGACATGGGAATTTTATTTAATATCAGGTGAGGGGTAAGCTTCATGAATCTTTATATTTTTTAGTTTAAGAAATCGAAAAGAAAATAAAAGGATAGAAAGTATATTAAACGTTTAAAAAAATCAAAGGATTAAACAAACTCATAAAAGACCAAAATATTTAACCGTTTTACAAGTATGAATAATGCAATAGTGTTAAAATTATTATCAAAACACACATTTGAATACTTCCCTGTAAGGGTAAAAGTTATATATTATTATCAAACTACAAATTTAGTTAACTTCGTGAAAGTAAATAATCAATAAACTTTATCAATATTATAATTTAAAATATTACTCCTTCATACAACAACAATAACAACAATCCAGTATAATCCTACTTAGTGGACCTGGGGAGGGTAGTGTGTATGCAGGTCTTACCCCTACCCTAGGGTAGAGAGACTATTTTCAAATAGACCTTGACATCATTTCCTCCAAAAACTTCCCACCTTGCTCTTGGGGAGACTCAAACTCACAACCTCTTGATTGGAAGTGGAGGTTGCTTACCATCACAGCAACCCCTCTTGTCTAGTAATTATTGAGCGAGCCTCGAACGCTGAGCGATAGGCGTGTTTAGGGCGTATAATCATATGTTTGGGGTATAAGCCTCACAAATTAATCCCTACACGGAGTCGTTGCAAATGCTTAGCCCAGGAGCTAGTCCTAGACGAACCTTTTAAAATATTAATCAACAATAAGAGAAATCGTCTATGTTGTAGGTAATTATCACTAACTAAATATTAAATATAAAGGATGATTTTTTTTAGACAAAGAATGATTTAAAATTCAAAAACTTAGAGAAATTTTCAATAGTAGATGTAAATGTTCGTAATTACCGACATATAATATGACATTTAAATTATGGTCATATTTTTTTTTTGTCATTTATATCAAAATGTTTTTACAACATTTGATATAAGTGTTGTATTTTTACTACATTTTATATCAAATGTCGTTGTTTTTATGATATTTTGTAACAAATGTCATTTTTTTACGACATTTTATATCTAATGTCTAGTTTTCACGATATTTTGTAGCAAATGTCGTACTTTTTACGACATTTCTTCAAAAATGTTATTTCATATCAAATGTCGTTGCTTTTATGATATTTTGTATCAAATGTCATTTTTTAGGATATTTAGTATCAAATGTCATTGTTTCTACGAAATTTTATATCAAATGTCATAGCTTTTACGATATTTTGTCATAAATGTCAAAAAATTCTTATTTTTTCCGAGATTTATTTCAATAGTCACTAAATAAATGTCGTCGTATCCTCAATTTCTGGATTTGTATGCCCATGCTCTTCTAACTCTGGACTTGATCCTTTATGTATCTGTTCTATTATGTAACAAAGGCAGACCGGGTCCTCATCTTTTATATCCTCTGCCGCATCGCAGCACATGGCGCCGGTGCTTTCCCCGTCGCGAAAGTTAAACACGCCGCTACCTTTTGAAATTCTGCCCCACACTTTTGACCAAGGCTTTTGTCATCATCTCCATTAGCCAACCCACATGAAAACACCATTAACATCGCTAAACCGATAAATTTATAAGCACTTTTCATTTTCTCGGCAACTTGAAAAAGTGGAGGAGGAGGAGGATTTTTTGTAGCAAAATGTAGAGGTTTATTTCTTGATATTTATGGAGAGAGTGTTTGTCTTTGTATGAATTAGGGGTGTTCATAAAAATCCGATAATCCGAACCAAACCGAAAACCAAACCAAACCGATCAAAAAAACCTATACTTTTTTGGTTTGGTTTGGTTTGGTTTTGAAATTTAAAAACCGATCAAATTTGGTTTGGTTTTGGTTTTAATTAAAAAAAAACGAACCAAACCGATTATAGGAGTAGCTATTTTAAATTTATTATTACACCTATTCATATGTATACTTTTATACCAAGTTTTAAAATTTTTATAGTAAATATTAATCGTTTGCACTTTTAGTATAGTTCTTTATCTTTACATTCTAGTTTAATTGGTAGTTTTCTTTTGTTAAGTGTAAGAATCTATTTCATGTTAAAAATAATATATTTTTAATTGACTCCTTAAATTGTTCATCACTATTTGATTCTATTATCATCAATATATCTTGGTAAATAATAGATTTCTCAAAGGGCAATTGATTTGATAGTGTTACGTTGAAAATGTGGCCGCCGAAATGTATGTTTGGTAGTGTATGTCTTATATTTAAGAAAAAACCGACAAAAAACCGACAAAAAACCAAAAAAATCGAAAAACCGACATAAACCGAATCGAGAAAAAACCGACTTAATTGGTTTGGTTTCTTTTTAAGGAAAAACCGATCCAAAGCGAACCATGAACACCCCTAGTATGAATAGGAGTTAATGTATAGAGGAATTAATGGGCCGAATAATAAAGATGGGGTAGTTGAACAGTAATGAATAACACAATGGGCTGGTTGTCAGCATGTGGAGCGGGATGGTCTTAAATGGAAGTTGATCTGTCGTATCTCAATCTGATTATACGCGATTGCGTTGGGTTTTCATGAGTTTATCACTACACTCGTCTTTCACACTGACCTTTTTTTTCCGGAAAATTAACGAAAGTCCCCACTCGGCCAAAAAAAAAAAAGAAACCCGAAAATATTATTTTAAAAAATATTAGCATATCTCATATCTGTTAAAAAAAAGTTATTTACAAAATACTGAATTGGTATATATGTTTGTATGGGTCCAAATTTGATCGACCACGACCTACAGCGAGCACGACAAACGACCGAACACCCATGAGTCGACGCCTAAAGGGATACGACCCTGTGGTAAAAGGAGAGGCACTACGACGTCGACAGTAGAATCAGCACATTAGGAGACCTAGGGAATATTCCTTAGATATTTCTTAACCTGTCGTTCCTGCGATTGGAGAAAACTCCTCAATATATAAGAGGGATGAAAGCCTTGTAAACGAGGCAGACACACTTTGTAAAAGTCACTAACCTTGAATGAAAAAGATTATTTACAATTCTCTTCTATCTATTATTATTATCTCTCTACTATTATCATCCTAGAATTTATTATCTTCGGCTACGATTTACACCTTCATCATCGATTGATTTGTTCAAAAAGAGTCTAATATCTTTTGAGTCAAACAATGTTATATATCTTCTGAACACAATTCACATGTTATATTCCTTCGTGATATACAACTATTCACAATTGCATTGTCTAATTTTGTAAGGGGCGAACTTCGTAAATGTTATAGACGGGTCATTTTTTACTCCACTGTTAATCATGTAAAAGTCCCCTTTTTATTGATTTGAATAATTTGAATTCGCGCCAAATAAGTTTGTTAGAAGGGTACTATTTGTGCTTTGTCTGATACCGTTAATTAAGGGTGCCCTTTATCTAATAAGTTCATATAAAGATCGTCTTTAAAACTTCAAGCTAATAAGCATGGCCTTCTCACTAAAGCTCAAACATTTTTTTTTAATTATGTTCATGTAACAATTTCAATTTTCCTCCGTAGGATGTCGTGATGGCACCTAGTCTTTAAGACTAGGTATGCGTAACATGCATGCAGAATTTAACTAAGATAATGATAAAATTTTCAAATTAACCACCAACTATCATAAAAAGGACTTCACAACTCAACAATACAAAACTCCCAAAATCCGGTGATACCAAGTCACAAGCTCTACAAGAGTATACTGAACATCCAAATATAACAATATCTAATAAAAGAAGAAAGATCTATATAGAGGATGACTCCAAGTTCTGCGGACTCCGACAAGTATACCTTGAAGTCTCCAAATCCGAGCTCGACTCACTGGTGTCTAGGCTGGTAAGAGATACCTAGATCTGCACAAAAAGATGTGAAGAAGGCATAGCATGAGTAAACAACAGTAGTAACCAGTAAGTATCAAGCCTATCCTCGGTAGAATAATTATGAGGTCAGGTCAAGACCCTACTGAAATAAAAAAGAAAACCGAACAGATATATATGACATTATGAAAATGAAAAATAATGAAAATGATACAATGAAGAAATATAACAAAAATAGTGTATGGATCAAAATCTAACCAAGGGAATCTTGCTCAAAGGTAGATTGCTAAGAGCCGATTAGACCGAGGTCGTACTCGAGATGGAAGGAACTTATTGGCGAGCTAAGTAACCGAGGTCGAGGTCGAATAATCTGGTCGGTCATAACAGCTAGTTTCGTAGCAGGATATTTTAGGAGAATATTTAGTTGAATATTCTCTGCACTTGTACTTTATGTTAGATAATGGATATATCCCATATAAAGAAAAGGGTAGAAAAAAAAAGGGATATGTATTATTCTATATGATAAGAACTCTCATGAAAAGTTGACTCTGAAGTAAATTACAAGAATTGCCTTTCCATAAAAATTCAATTTGTTGTTTATCCCACACTTTCTCGCATCAAATCCGAGAAAGCTCTCTATATTCCCACGTTAATTTGTCTTGCATCATTGTCAGAGAGAAGAATCATCCACCTCATTCAATATTTGGGTGAATCATTCTCTCAATTTACATTTATTGCCATTTAATATATTTATTTCTTATCATTGTCCTCCTACTCACTTGTAGCAGTATCATTTAATACCCATTGTATTAAATTAGTTTAAATGCAATTCTACGTTATTTGTATAAATATATTTCAAATCTAGGATTTATTATGTTTAACTAGGATTTACCCATCATCCTCTTATTTAATTAACTTAAGAAAATGTTTCGTACTTTTTGGTAAAATAATTTGGTGCCGTATGTGGGCATTTTCTAGTTAAAATTTTAGTTTCTTCTAGATCGAAAAAAAAACAATGCTAAAACCCTATACTTCCTTTTGTGCACAAATCTAACATGAAAGGCAACAAAGAGGAAAAAAGGGAGGCGATAGCTGACCTCACCACCAACCTCCTCCATACCATCAACAAAGCAAATGAAACAGAGGGCAAGGAGGTGACACCAAACACCTCTCTCAGGCAAAACAGCTCGCCTCCTCCTCATGGTAGCATCACGACCTCGCACGGTAAATGGGCCTCTACATCTACAACAGAAGAGGCACCAGCGACAGTAAAAAAATTGCTCGAGGCGTGGTTGACAAACACGTTAACCAGTTTCCTTGTCGAGCCCTCTTAATGGCCGAACCGGGAAGAGGCAGGGGTTTGCGTTGCACCACCAGCTGACGAGCAACATGCCCCCTCCGTAATAGGTATTACTCACAATGTTATTGGTGCTGGTAACAACACCCTCACAACCAATATGAGGAAAATGGAAGAGATGTAGAACGAGAATAAAATGCTCCGTAACCAAATGAAAGAGCATCAGGAAAGGGTAGACAAAATACCAGGCGCCCCAAAACTTCTTCCAAAAAGGGACGTCGGTCGGTTTGTTGAGCAACCATACAACAACGAAGTTCCACCACACGCAATACCCAAAACCTTCAAAATGCATTTGTACCTGAAAATATGCGACGTCACGATGGACCCTGAGGATCATGTGACCCACTATGTCACTGCAGTGAAAGGCAATGACCTCGCCAAAGAACAAGTGTCGTCCATATTGCTGAAGAAATTTAGCGAAACCCTAACTAGGGGAGCGCTGACTTGGTACTCATAGCTACATGCGCATTCCATAAAAACATTCAAGGAGATGGCAGACAAGTTCGTCACTGCCCATGCCGGGGCTAAGAAAGCCCAGGCGAGGGTGAACGACATATTTGCCATTAAGCAATCGCCTGGCGAGGGACTCCAAGGCTTCCTTGCCCGATTCAACCGTATAAGAATGACCCTTCCAAATGTATATGAAAGGATGGCGGTAGCCGCTTTCCAAAATGGGCTAAGAATAAGTGGGTCAAGGGCGACCAAAAAGTTGCTAAGCCGCCTCATGAAATACCTCTGACCACTTGGGACAAGATACACAATGCCTACTGTGATGAGGTAAGAGCCGACGAGGACGACCTCAACGGACCTACTCAACGGCTGACCTCAGTCCAAATAGGGTCCATGAAGGACCATATCATGACCCATATCAGAGGGCCACGACTGGCATCCGGTGTCTACTTAGCCGAGCACCACGTACCTTATTCCCTTTTTTCTATAAATCTCGTCATGGGCCATGATAGGCCACATCTATATGTAATTAACAATATTAGAACTTAACTCACGTAACTAATTCAAAATGATTTATATAGATACATAGGGGCCGACGAGACCGTTGACATGTCATACCTAAAGCTATACACAGGGCACTTTCTTCAAAACCTCTAAGAAAACATGACCATAACATATAAGTCGGGACAGGGTCCTTGACATCCTTATAAAACAAAGTAACATATATAGAACCTGACTCGGCAATACTCTAGGATGATGTGGAGCTCACCAACCAAAAGCTGATATCTGGAGGCAGCCTACAATAGATGATCCTCACCTCGCCTATCTACACCTGTGTGGCATAAAACACAGCGCCCCAAAAAAGGGCGTTAGTACGAAGAATGTACCGAGTATGTAAGGTAACAACGAAACGTAATGATAATAAGATATTATCTCGGGGAAAGATAAGAGTCAACTTATAACTTCTAACTTGACGCTGAGGGCCGTAACATATAGAATAAAATCCATATTATAGATATAAATAAAACTACAATACAATAGTTCTAGTTACCTCATTTTCGTGATGTTAACTGCCCAACTGATCAGTGGTAACTGCCCGACAGGCCGTAGCACGATAGTAAATATATGACTGCCCGACCGGCCATAGCTCGAAAGTAAATATGTGATTGCCCAACCGGTGGTAAATAATGATACATAACTGCCCAACTGGTGTTAACTGCCCGACCGGCCGTAGCACGATAGTAAATATGTAACTGCCCAACCGGCCGTAGCTCGGTGGTAAATGCATATGCATGTATTACTATATTATGAACATTACCATCTTTATTAAATACCTTAATAGAGACTTAGGAACATACTTAGACATGCTTGAATATCAGAAATCCAACGTGCTTATCTGAATTATCTTAAAAGCTATACAAATTACTTCCGATAATTCAAAAAATATTATTTCAATATTCACTGGGTCATAAAGTTGTGGTCATGTTTCCCGAAACACACACACATATGGACACAGAGACACAATTGCTATGTGACATAATAGCTTAACAGGTTAATCAAAACAATTTAGTTTACAAAGGGTTATTTGATGTTTATGTGCAAAGATCTATTTGTTATTCCTATTACCTTAGTTACAATACTACACACATTCGTACATTATCTTGACATACTTCTCCATTTATCTAAGAGGAATAAAGGCATTCTACGAAGATAAAACAAGTATCAATATATTGCACTTCCTTTGTTTGTTAATAATTCATGTTTTAAATTGCCAAAATTGTCCAGAACCATATCCTATACTTAAAAATTTCTTAGCTTCCATTTGTGATGGCTCATAAATGCTAATCATATACATTAATACCTGCAACCTATAAAAGAAAATCTCCTTCATTTTCTTAATTACCTCTTCTTGATAACTGGAGCATAATATGTTTACAACACACAATTATACTTCCACAAAACTATTGGAAGGATGGAAAGACTTGAAAAGATAAATCCTTAACTGCTAAGAGTAGAACCATTTATGGAATAACATTACATTTACGTATCGTTACTTGGATCATGCTAAAAGAAAGAAGAATTAGCCTTAACATACCGGAGTAGGGAAAATCCATATGATATCCTTGGAAAAAGGTTATATCGTACTTCATTAGAACCGCAAAAATCGGATTAAGTTTCTGCTTTTTCGAAGTTCTTGAACAAAACGTCAAGCTTCATGCTTGTTAAGATACTGAGCAAATTTCGTTCATTCTGTTATTTGAAATTTCCAAATCAAGAAAGAATGGCTTTCTTGCTTGTTTGAATTACAACGTTACTGTTCTCATTTCCATAAGGAAATGTAACAAGACTTTGGATAGTCATTTGTTCCCTTCAAGCCTAGGTTGCCACCTAGGCATAAGTGACTACTTAGTCACTTCTTGGTTTGTGGCTCTTTGCCACGTGGGGGGGGGGTTAATTATTAATTATTTATCCACTTATTAGTTAATCGGGTAATGTTTTGTTACCCGATAATTAATTAATACCCGTATAATTAAAAATTATCACAAATTACTTAAGATTCTATTTATTATTTTAAAATACTGCATATATACTTTATATATTATACTACCGTGGTCATATGGTACCTTGCATGGTACTAGTTCATAATTATCGAGTATTATCGCTCGACTAGTATTTTATTCCAATTTGGCCACTTTCAGCGAAACTCATTTTCTTTAATCCGTATACCCCTTTATCCTTCATAATACTTATTTATCGCTTGTTATAAATAGCGTAAGTACGTTAATGTCAAGACGATCTCACCCCCGAGTCTATGTCAATTAACTGAAGACGAAACTTTTAACGTACGAAAATGCGAGATGTAACATCCTTCCCCCCTTAGAAACATTTGTCCTCGAATGTATAAACTTTGAAGATGTACATACATATCCATCTATTATAAATGTATATATCTTCCTGGGCTAAACTCCAATGAAACAAATATCAGGCTCTCACAGGGTCAGGACGTCGTCCGTCCCTAACACTACTTCCTAATCCAGTCGTTACCTAAGATTTTGTTAATCTATCTTCTAGGCGTTGACACCTATTAGTTGTAATCTTAATAAACGGATTCATGCTTTGCTTTCAAGCTAGCCTTGTTATCCCTTAACCCTTCAGGCGTAATGTCAACTTACTCTTATATTAATCATATTAACTGGACAATTTGCGTTAATAAGATCGAACTTTACCAATAATCACAATACCTGACACATCATCCGGTGTAGCCTCTGGGTCCTGACAACCTGCCAAAGCATATATGCGGTTCTGACTACCGCCGAAGCTAGATGCTCCACCTCTGCCTCTACCTCTCCCAGCTGATCCCTGAGGGCCTCGCTCTTGAGGGCATACTGAAGAGGAGGAAATTGTTATAGATTTGGTGGGATGAACCATCCTGCTTCTGTCATTCATAGGACAATCCCTCATGTAATGACTAGGGTCTTCACAGGTATAGTATACATTAGATCCCTGACGACATTGTCCAGAATGAGCTCTACCGTATTGACTGCACCGTGGAGGAGGCGTCCTCGTCTGCTGAATCCCTCAGATTCTGAAAACCCAAAATTCTCGAGCCCTGACCTGATTTAGAATAGACAGATCCCTCATAATACGACTTCTGCAACAGTCGGATACTTTCGACTGGATATGGTGACATAGGATCGCCCGAAAAATCCTCAGGTCGCCTAATAGACCTGGCGTTCTTACGTTGACCCTCATCACGATTCTCGTATTGCTGTCGTTTCCGATCCTCCAAATTCTGAGCATAAGCTTGGATGTAGGAAATATCCATACCATCAAGCAGAGCGGCCGTGGAGCATTCATTAATCAGGTGCGGCCAAAGTCCTACCACAAATCGATTTGGTCACTCATTTCAGCCACAATCGAAGGGGCATATCTTGACAAGGAATAAAACTGGAGACTATACTCCCACACACTCATATTCCCTTATTTAAGAGCCAAGAACCTGTCTACCCTTGCTTGACGAATCTCTACCGGCAAGTAATGACGCAGGAAAGCCCTTGGAACTCTTCCCATACTGCTGGAGATGCATTTTTACCTCTAGACAATTCCCAAGTTTCATACCACTAAACCGCAACATCCCGCAATCGGTATGAGGCCAACTCTACTGACTTAGTGTCTGATGCATGCATTACCCTCAAAGTCCTCTGCATCCTATCAATAAAGTTTTGCGGGTCCTAATTCTTGTTGGATCCGGTAAACACTAGAGGGTCCAGGTTAATGAAGTCTCGAACTCTTGCACTAATTACCCTGTTAACGTGACCAACACTTGTACCTACCTAGCGCTGACCCTGAGCGGCTACCAACCTAGTCAATAATTGTACTGCACTCTGTATATCCATATCCTCATCCTGAACAATAGGTGGAGGTACTGGGTTCCTCGTCATCTCCTCGGGTGCCGACGAAATCGGAGAACTATGCGAGGGTGTCATATTTCCCCTCGGGGTCTCACTCTAGCCCTCACTAGACATTGGTACTTTACTCATTCCCTCATCTACCACTACCTTACCCTTCTGACTAGTTGTAGCATTCCTGGTCATAGGCATTGCTGTATATATAAAACAAGTCAATGGTCAAGGGCTTTGTTCCCTATGATATTGCACGATCTAATATCAAGAAGGAAGGGTAACCGGTCCCTAAATGCCCCGTAGTTTCTTGATTATATAATGTGGTGCACAATACATTTATAAACAAGACTCTACTAGACACGACTTGCAGACAACCCTAGGATAAAACTGTTCTGATACCACTTTGTCATGACCCATATTAGAGGGCCACGACTGGCACCCGATGTCTACTCAGCCAAGCGCCACGTACCTTATTCCTTTTTTTTCTCTATAAATCTCGTCACGGGCCATGATAGGCCACATCTATATATGTAATTAACAATATTAGAACTTAACTCACGTAACTAATTCAAAAGCATTTATATAGATATATAGGGGCCGACAAGGCCGTTGACATGTCATACCTAAAGCTATACACATGACACTGTCTACAAAACCTCTAAGAAAATATGACCATAACATATAAGTCGGGACAGGGTCCCTAACATCCTTATAAAACAAAGTAACATATATAGAACGTGACTCGGTACTCCAGGATGATGTGGAGCTCACCAACCAAAAGTTGATATCTGGAGGCAGCCTACAACGGATGATCCTCACCTCGCCTATCTACACCTATGTGGCATGAAACACAACGCCCCAAAAAAGGGCGTCAGTACGAAGAATGTACCGAGTATGTAAGGTAACAACAAAACGTAATGATAATAAGATATTATCTCGGGGAAAGATAAGAGTCAACTTATAACTTCTGACTTGCCGCTGAGGACCATAACATATAGAATAAAATCCATGTCATATATATAAATAAAACAACAATACAATAGTTCTAGTTACCTCACTTTCGTGACGTTAACTACCCAACTGATCAGTGGTTACTGTCCGATCGGTCGTAGCACGGTGGTAAATATATGACGTCCGACCAGCCGTAGCTCGGAAGTAAATATGTAACTACCCAACCGGTGGTAAATAATGATACATAGCTGCCCAACCGGTGGTAACTGTCCGACCGGCCATAGCCCAGTGGTAAATGCATGTCTGTCCAACCAGGCGTAGCACAGTGGTAAATATGTAACTGCCCACCGGCCATAGCTCGGTGGTAAATACATATGCATGTATTACTATATTATGAACGTTAACATCTTTATTAAATACCTCGATCGAGACTTAGGAACATACTTAGACATGCTTGAATATCAGAAATCCAACGTGCTTATTTGCATTATCTTAAAAGCTATACAAGTTACTTCTGATAATTCAAAAAACATTATTTCAATATTCACTGGGTCATAAAGTTGTGGTCATGTTTCCCGAAATACACACACATATGGACACATAACAGGTCAATCAGAACAATTTAGTTTACAAAGGGTTATTTGATGTTTATGTGCAAAGATCTATTTGTTTTTCCTATTACCTTAGTGACAATACTACACACATTCGTACATTATCTTTGCATACTTCTCCATTTATCTAAGTGGCATAAAGGCATTCTACGAAGATAAAAAAGTATCAATATATTGCACTTCCTTTGTTTGTTAATAATTCATGTTTTAATTTGCCAAAACTGTCCAGAACCATATCCTATACTTAAAAATTTCTTAGCTTCCATTTGTGATGGATCATAAATGCTAATCATATACTTAAATACCTGCAACCTATAAAAGGAAATCTCCTTCATTTTCTTAATTACCTCTTCTTGATAACTGGAGCATAAGATGTTTAAAACACAGAATTATACTTCCACAAAGCTATTGGAAGGATAGAACGACTTGAAAAGATAAATCCTTAACTGCTAAGAGTAGAACCATTTATGGAATAACATTACGTTTACGTATCGTTACTTGGATCATGCTCAAAGAAAGAAGGATTAGCCTTAACATACCTGGAGTAAGGAAAATCCGTATGATATTCTTGGAAAAAGGTTACAACATACTTCGTTAGATCCGCAAAAATCGGATTAAGCTTCTGCTTCTTCGAATTTCTTGAACAAAAGGTCAAGCTTCATGCTTGTTGAGATATTGAGCAAATTTCGTTCATTCTGTTATTTGAAATTTCTAAATCAAGAAAGAATTGCTTTCTTGCTTGTTTGAATTACAACGTTACTATTCTCATTTCCATAAGGAAATGTAACAAGACTTTGGATAGTCATTTGTTCCCTTCAAGCCTAGGTTGCCACCTAGGCATAAGTGCCTACTTAGTCACTTCTTGGTTTGTGGCTCTTTGCCACGTGGGGGGAGGGGTTAATTATTAATTATTTATCCTCTTATTAGTTAACCGGGTAATGTTCTGATACTCGATAATAATTAATTACCCACATAATATAACCACAAATTACTTAAAATTCTATTTATTTTTTTAAAATACTGCATATATACTTTATATATTATATTACCGTGGTCATGTGGTACCTTTCATGGTACTAGCTCATAATTATTGAGTATTATTGCTC